CCCTCCAAATCATTGGATTCAGGTGTTCCAATCACCTCCATGGCCACAGGTGTATAAAATCATCACCTAGGCATGCAGACTGCTTCTACAAACATTTGTGAATGAATGGGTTGCTCTCAGGCATTCAGTGAATTTAAGTGTGGTACAGTGACCCCAACAGAGCGGGGTCTACGCAAGCTGAAGCGCACAGTGTGCAGAAGTCGCCAACTGACTGCAGAGTCAATAGCTAAAGACCTCCAGACTTCATGTGGCCTTCAGATTAGCACAACAAGAGTGCGTAGAGAGCTTCATGGAATGGGTTTCCATGGCCGAGTATCCAAGCCTTACATCACCAAATGCAATGCAACGCTTCGGATGCAATGGTGTAAAGCCACTGTACTCTAGAGCAGTGGAGACGTGTTCTCTGGAGTGACCAATCACGCTTCTCTGTCTGGCAATCTGATGGACGTGTCTGGGTTTGGCGGTTGCCAGGAGAACGGTACTTGCCTGACTGCATTGTACCAAGTGTAAAGTTTGGTGGAGGGGGATTGTGGTGTGGGTTTTTTTTTCAGGGGTTGGGCTTGGCCCCCTAGTTCCAGGGAAGGGAATTCTTAAGGCATCAGCATACCAAGACAGTTTGGACAATTTCATGCTCCCAACTTTGTGGGAAGAACTTGGGGATGGCCCCTTCCTTTTCCAACATGACTGACCACCAGTGCACAAAGCAAGGTCCATAAAGACATGGAGGAGCCAGTTTGGGGTGGAGGAACTTGACTGCCCTGCACAGATTCCTGACCTCAACCCCATAGAACACCTTTGGGATGAATTAGAGCGGAGACTGTGAGCCAGGCCTCCTTCCCCGACATCAGTGCCTGACCTCACAAATGCTCTTCTGGAAGAATGGTCCAACCTTCCCATAGACACCCTCCTAAACCTTGTGGACGGCCTTCCCAGAAGAGTTGAAGCTGTTATAGCTGCAAAGGGCGGGGCCAACTCAATACTGAACACTATGGACTAAGACTGGGGGGCCATTAAAGGTCATGTGCGTGGAAAGGCCGGACGACCAATACTTTTGGCAATATAGTGTGTATGTATGTATATATATATATATATACTGTATATACACACATACACTACAATACATATAGTGTGGTCTATGTTTTCAGCGAATGTGCATTTTGATTATGCCAGTGGTGGTTTGTTTTTGCCACACTTGGCTCATATATCTTTGACACAGTTGAATCTCATAAATCACTTGCATTTCTTGACCTCTTATATTGTTTAAGGTCATTTTATCTGGTGGCGTGGTGGCAATGAATAAGTGTGAGAGCAGGACCATCTTCTAGGATTAGGATTGGGAAAAGGAGCTCTCACTCTTAATGTTGCAACCTTGTTGTACAATGCAGGTGCATTTGAAAGATATGTTGGGGCTTCATTAGGAATGAATAGCACCACAACGCCCCAACACACATAAAGTGTGTCACCGCAATACAATAGTGTGAATCCAGCCTACTGATGGCCATACATTGGTCAAAAAATCTTTTGAACTCACTGTCGAATAACGAACACTCGGCTGTGAGAGGAAATGGTATTGCCATCATGTAAGAACTGAATTTTGAATGATAAATCGTTCAATAAACATAAATGAATCCATTTTTCATTTGTTTTGTCACATATGCGCAGTACTAACAGTTTGATTTTTAATGGGCGAGAAGCACATTACCTTTCAATTTATTTTGCGTTCTTCAGAAGTTTCTCAGCCTTTTCCTTTGTTTTTTTGGGCTCAAAAAAGTAAAAAACGATATTCCATTTTTGCCCATTAACAAAAAACAAATGAACTGTCCAATTGATGTATTCTGGGATAATTTTCTGTCTGGTGTATAGCCACCATAAGAGTTCTAACTTTAATCTGACCTAACCTGATGAGTACTTGTTTTAAACAAGATGCTTATAAGTACTCAAGCCAGTAAAACCCAGGCAGTTTCCACTTTTTCAAGGTCAGCAATGGCAGCCATTTGTTTTTTGCATGATCGGCTTACTTTGAAGCATTACTGCTCTGGTGGGAGTACCCTCCAGAGGATAGTTACATGCAGGGGCGGACTGACCCTTTGGGAACTTGGGCACTGCCTGAGGGCCCGGGTCAGTAGGGGGCCCCATGAGATGCCCCTGGTACCTTTTTCATAGGCTTTTTTGAGTTTGGGCAAGGACACAGGGGCCCCATGATCCCTTATTGCCTGGGGGCCCCATGAGTTGCCAGTCCGCCCCTGGTTACATGTGATGGTAAATTACCACTGCTGCACAAACTCCAGTGCCAACATCAGCTTTTTTGCCTCTGTAGGACAGCCAGTGATGATGCCCACCCATGCATGAGTAATGGGATTGAACCAGCCCAGCAACAGGCTCCACCTTTTACCAATGCTAAGAATGAACACTACAAAAGAGTGCGCACAGTAGACAGTAATGGTATAAAAAACATTTCCTAGCTATTTTTATTTTTTATTTTTTGGCAGAAGAGAAATGCAAAGTCCTTTGCACCAAAAAAAAAAATGAATGTCCTTTTTTTTTTTAATTTTTATTTGTTTATACTCATTTGTGTGACATTTAGAAATACGCAATATTTATACACACCAATGCTAAGAATGTACACTACAAAAGAGTGAGCACAGCAGACAGTAATGGTATTAAAAAAAAACATTTCCTAGCTTTTTTTTTTTTTTTGGCAGAAGAGAAATGCAAAGTCCTTTGCACCAAAAAAAAAAAACTGAATTTCCCTTTTTTTTTTTAAATTTCCTAGCTATTTTTTTTATTTTTTGGCAGAAGAGAAATGCAAAGTCCTTTGCACCAAAAAAAACAAAACTTGAATTTCCCTTTTTTTTTTTTTAAATTTCCTAGCTATTTTGTTTATTTTTTGGCAGAAGAGAAATGCAAAGTCCTTTACACCAAAAAGAAAATGAATTTCCTTTTTTTTTTTTTTTCATTTGTTTATGCTCATATTTGTGTGACATTTAAAAAATAAGTAATACTTATACACACCAATGCAAAGACTGTACACTGCGCACAGCAGACAGTAATGGTATTAAAAAAAAACATTTCCTAGCTATTTTTTTTTTTTTGGCAGAAGAGAAATGCGAAGTCCTTTGCACGAACAAAAAAAACCCCTGAATTTCCTTTTTTTTCACATTTGTTCATGCTCATATTTGTGTGACATTTTGAAATAAGCAATAATTATACACACCCAATGCTAAGAATGTACACTACAAAAGAGTGCGCACAGCAGACAGTAATGGTATTAAAAAAAAATTTCTAGCTTTTTTTTTTTTTTTTTGGCAGAAGAGAAATGCAAAGTCCTTTGCACCACAAAGAAAAAACCTGAATTTCCCCCTTTTTTTTTTTTTTTTTTTTTTTTAATTTCCTAGCTATTTTTTTACATTTTTTGGCAGAAGAGAAATGCAAAGTCCTTTGCACGAAAAAAAAAAAAAAAACCTTTTTTTTTTTTAATTTGTTTATGCTCCTATTTGTGTGACATTTAGAAATACGCAATATTTATACACACCAATGCTAAGAATGTACACTACAAAAGAGTGCGCACAGCAGACAGTAATGGTATTAAAAAAAAAATTCCCAGCTATTTTTTTTTTGGCAGAAGAGAAATGCAAAGTCCTTTGCACCAAAAACAAAAACCTGAATTTCCCTTTTTTTTTTAAATTTTCTAGCTATTTAGTTTATTTTTTGGCAGAAGAGAAATGCAAAGTCCTTTAACACCAAAAAAAATTAATTTTTTTTTTTTTATTTGTCTATGGTCATATTTGTGTGACATTTAAAAAATAAATAATACTTATACACACCAATGCAAAGAATGTACACTACAAAAGTGTGCACAGCAGACAGTAATGGTATTAAAAAAAAAATTCCCAGCTATTTTTTTTTTTGGCAGAAGAGAAAAGCAAAGTCCTTTGCACCAAAAAAAACCCGAATTTCCCTTTTTTTTAAATTTCCTAGCTATTTTTTTTTATTTTTTTGGCAGAAGAGAAATGCAGAGTCCTTTACACCAAAAAGAAAATGAATTCCCTTTTTTTTTTTTTTTTTTTTTAATTTGTTTATGCTCATATTTGTGTGACATTTAAAAAATAAGTAATACTTATACACACCAATGCTAAGAATGTACACTACAAAAGAGTGTGCACAGCAGACAGTAATGGTATTAAAAAAAAACATTTTCTAGCTTTTTTTTGGCAGAAGAGAAATGCAAAGTCCTTTGCACCAACAAAAAAACCCTGAATTTCCTTTTTTCTTTTTTAATTTCCTAGCTATTTTTTACATTTTTTGGCAGAAGAGAAATGCAAAGTCCTTTGCACGAAAAAAAAAAAAAAATGAATTACCTTTTTTTTTTTATTTGTTTATTCTCATATTTGTGTGACATTTAGAAATACGCAATATTTATACACACCAATGCTAAGAATGTACGCTACAAAAGAGTGCGCACAGCAGACAGTAATGGTATATATATAAAAAAATTCCTAGCTTTTTTTTTCTTTTTCTTTTTTTTGGCAGACGAGAAATGCAAAGTCCTTTGCATAAAAAAAAAAAAACCCTGAATTTCCTTCTTTTTTTTTAATTTGTTTATGCTTATATTTGTGTGACATTTAGAAATAAGCAATACTTATACACAAACACCTACAATCATGTGGAATTAATTTGACTGTTATGGACAATTATTCCGAGAGAGCTGTCATCAGTGGTTCGTGGAAAATCACACTTCGATCACAAATTGCTCTTCAGCAGTCCCTTTATGTCCTAATCATCTCCATTTTTTTGTGATTTAAATTACTTTTTCTGGTGGAACATCAGCGGCGCAGATTGAAACTCCGAAGGGTGCTGTATGGAGGGGGGTCAGACAAAGGTCATTCAAAAATAAAGAATACAAATTTTCTGTAATATTTGCGCTGCTGATCTGCAATGCCATTCTCCGTTTGGCTGGGTAGCCGACCATAACCAATGTTAACAGGTCAGCAAATTATATATGAAAGCTGTCAATCTTGAAAGAAAATCACTTTTTAAGTCCAGAGATTAAAAAAAAAAAAAAGGAAAAAAAAAAATGCCCCCCCTTTTGCTACTACGGTGTGTCTGATTTTAAAAGTTCCCAAAATTTTATTATATTAATTTATTTTATTGTAGTCACCATGCAGCTGCACTATTGAAAATTGATTACCGTGCATGCACTGTTTCTATCTCAAAGCAGCTGTGTGCTTTTATTAGCAGGTTAAAGTGGAATTTTAGGCATTAAAAAAAAAAAAAATTTAAGTAGCATTTTTTTCTTTGCAGAAGAAAACCTACCATGTCTTTTCTGTAATAAAGGATTCTTACCTTCCTCGCAAAATTCTTTACAATGGATACTGAGCTGTGTGTGCAGCTCAGTGTACAATCCCGGCATGTGCTGGGTGCCAGGAATAACTCTTCTCCATTGCACATGTGCAGGAGTGACATCATCCCAACCTGGCCAATCAGGATGGCTGAAGATCCTGAATGTAGATAAAGTCAGAGATGTGACCACCCCCGAGGGAGCTCATAGACGTCACATTGCTGGAGTGGAGTATAGTACCACTAAGTTCATTATGGGAGCTATGTATATATATACTCAGGGGTGGACTGACAACTCATGGGGCCCCCGGGCAATAGGGGATCACGGGGCCCCTGTGTGCTTGCCCAAACTCAAAAAAGCCTATGAAAAAGGTACCAGGGGCATCTCATGGGGCCCCCTACTGACCTCGGGCCCCCGGGCAATGGGGGATTATGGGGCCCCTGTGTCCTTGCCCAAACTCAAAAAAGCCTATGTAAAAGGTACCAGGGGCATCTCATGGGGCCCCCTACTGACCTCGAGCCCCCGGGCAATAGGGGATTATGGGGCCCCTGTGTCCTTGCCCAAACTCAAAAAAGCCTATGAAAAAGGTACCAGGGGCATCTCATGGGGCCCCCTACTGACCTCAAGCCCCCGGGCAATAGGGGATTATGGGGCCCCTGTGTCCTTGCCCAAACTCAAAAAAGCCTATGAAAAAGGTACCAGGGGCATCTCATGGGGCCCCCTACTGACCTCGGGCCCCCAGGCAATAGGGGATCATGGGGCTCCTGTGTCCTTCCCCAAACTCAAAAAAGCCTATGAAAAAGATACCAGGGGCATCTCATGGGGCCCCCTACTGACCCCCGGGCCCTTGGGCAGTGCCCGAGTTTCCAATGGTCAGTCCGCCCCTGTATGTACTGTAGTGGTTCCTATACGTATCACCCCATGGCAAATAGTAAAATATGTCATCTGAGCAGACAACTTTTAGGGAACTATTTTAAAAGTTTAATCAACTTTCACCCAGGATACACATATTTTTACAATAGTGTATGGCAGGGCAAAAACAGCAGATTTAGTATATCTCTGCAATGAATGCACATTTCTGCATGAAAGATAGCTTGCTGATCCTACCGGAAATCTAGTGTGCATCTAACTTATCCCGAAAATGCACTACAGTCTATTTAACATGATTTCCTATGGGACATGTTCACATCTGCGCGTTTTCATCCGGTGCGTTTTTTGGAAAGGGTCAGGGATTTTTGTTAACGCAAAAAGTTGCTTTTTTGGTTCTATAGACTTCAATGGAAATGCTGCAGATAAGCATGTATTGCATTTTTGATGTGTTTTTGCTCCATTTTGTATGCTTTTTTTTAATGCATTTTAAATCTGTCTAGCAACAAGAAAAAAAAAAAGCAAAATGGATCAAAAACACAGGTGCAAAATTGCAAAATGCAACACAAAATGCGTTGCAGAAAACAGCTCAAAATGCAGCTTCCATGGGTGTGAACCTAGCCTTACTGTTTAAGCTGACAAAACTGTGCTTTTGTTCCTCAATGTTGTCAGCCCTGCATGCTGGATTACACAAAAACCCCCCTCTCCCCAACCCCCTCATGCTTCATATGTATTTCTTTCCCAGAAAACCCATGGTGCCTTAAAGTGTTACTCTCTCAGACCCTGCATTCACTATATCTGGTCTCCCCGGACCCTGCATTCACTATATCTGGTCTCCCCAGACCCTGCATTCACTATATCTGGTCCTCCCGGACCCTGCATTCACTATATCTGGTCTCCCCGGACCCTGCATTCACTATATCTGGTCTCCCCGGACCCTGCATTCACTAGATCTGGTTTCCCCCCCCGGACCCTGCATTCACTATATCCGGTTTCCCCGGACCCTGCATTCACTATATGCGGTCTCCCCAGACCCTGCATTAACTATATCCGGTCTCCCCCGGACCCTGTATTCACTATATCCGGTCTCCCCGAACCCTGCATTCACTATATCCGCTCTCCCCGAACCCTGCATTCACTATATCTGGTCTCCCAGGACCCTGCATTCACTATATCCCCTCTCCCTGGACCCTGCATTCACTATATCTGGTCTCCCAGAACCCTGCATTCACTATATCTGGACTCCCTGGACCCTGCATTCACTATATCTAGTCTCCCCAGAACCCTGCATTCGCTATATCTGGTCTCCCCGGACCCTGCATTCACTATATCTGGTCTCCCTGGACCCTGCATTCAATATATCTGGTCTCCCAGAACCCTGCATTCGCTATATCTGGTTTCCCCGGACCCAGCATTCACTATATCTGGTCTCCCCCGGACCCTGCATTCACTATATCTGGTCTACCACAGTACAGAGAACATGAAAATGCAATTATTTTAGTAAATATAAACTGCTAAAAACCTTTTCTCATCAGCAGTATATAGCAGTCTTGCAACTTCTATCAGTGTCCAGCTGAGCACTGGTTAACCTTGGAGGAGTTTTCATTCTGCTTTAAAAAGATGCAGAACCCCTGACCTCTGTCTGCACAATGTCAATTGGCCCTGTGCTGATCACATGCACCCTCCCGAGAAAAAAAAAAAAAACACTCTCTAGCAGTACACACCAAACTGAGCATGTGCAGAGTGTTCCCGAGGCTCTGTCCTTTTCATGAGATGAAATGGCAAACGTGGAAGAAGGGGAGGATCAGAGAAGTTAGGATCAAACATCCTTTTAAACACAATGCAGAGGATTAACCCCTTAGGTTTTACAGTGAGTATAACAAGCATGCTTTACTGCACATACAGACTGATTATACTGTTGTGGGTTTAATAACACTTTAAAGTATACTGTAAGTTCATCACCACCGCCATTTTCCCCCAAAAAATAAATCTATGCAATTCCATATTTTATGAATAGTACATACCGGTGCTCCTCTTTTTTTCATGTGTGACACCTGCTCACATTATACACGTAGCTCTGGGGAGGGGGGTTCGTTCTGCAGGAACTGCTGGCCCTTTGATCCCCTTCCATCCTGCCGTTTGCAGAATCATTTTGCATATTTCAAAATTTGTAGCTTTTATTAAAAGGAAATGTTCCAACCATGGAAAGATACTCAGAGGCTGACGTGTTCTGCGGGAGGTCCAGTTCTCATCAGATGCTCTGAGGAAGAGGGGACTCGCCTTGAAATACATCATCCACTCATAGTGTCTTTCTCGTGGTTGGGATTTGCACAGTAGCCCAGGTCATGCAGGACACTGTAGATATTGATGACAAGCTTGAGATATCATACTGTTTGTGAGTATACATCTGTTTTATTACTTCAATAAAATAATTTTTAAAAGGTAATGGTCATGGCAGGAGTGCCCTCTTGTTTTTCCAGCGTTTCTTTTGGGCTTTCCCAGTCCTCCGGGGGCTGCAAAATCTTGCCAAAACTTGAGTTGTTGAAGATCCAAGGTCCACCATTGCCGGCACATTTACCTTGAGCGCAGTTGGTGTGGAATGGGATGTTCATAAAGCTCATAAAGGTGTGATGTCAGATGCCCATAAATCTTCTGTCACATAGCGACCCACTCCATGGTGTTTCATCATTTCAAACATTTTCACTATTCTTAAAAAAAATCTACTAATGATCCTGTCCACCAAAGTCCTTGTCCATAGCAATGTAACATTTTCTGGAGTAGATTTTCCCAAATGGTTTTCTTCATCAGGTGACACTTTTTGCTTTGCAAGTAATGACAGTAGTGCCCTCTTGTTTTCCAATGTTCCTTTGGGCTTCCCCAATCTTCCGGGGGCTGCAAAGTCTTGCCAAAACTTGAGTTGTTGAAGATCCAAGGTCCACCATTGCCGGCACATTTATCTTGAGCGCAGGAGGTTGTTCTTTTTTGGTGTGTATCTTCTCCTCCAGCGTCAGTACCTGATCTCACAAATGATCTTTTGGCATAATAGGGATACATGTTCACTCTCTTTGTGAAGGTTTTCCACAAGATTTTGGAACATGTATCCCTATTATGCCAAAAGATCATTTGTGAGATCAGGTACTGACGCTGGAGGAGAAGATACACACCAAAAAAAGAACAACCTCCTGCGCTCAAGATAAATGTGCCAGCAATATGGTGGACCTTGGATCTTCAACAACTCAAGTTTTGGCAAGACTTTGCAGCCCCCGGAAGATTGGGGAAGCCCAAAGGAACACTGGAAAACAAGAGGGCACTACTGTCATTAATTGCAAAGCAAAAAGTGTCACCTGATGAAGAAAACCATTTGTGAAAATCTCCTACTCCAGAAAATGTTACATTGCTATGTACAAGGACTTTGGTGGACAGGATCATTAGTAGATTTTTTTAAAGAATAGTGAAAATGTTTGAAATGATGAAACACCATGGAGTGGGTCGCTATGTGACAGAAGATTTATGGGCATCTGACCATCACACCTTTATGAGCTTTATGAACATCCCATTCCACACTGAAGGAGTTGGATACTCATTGCACCTATAACATCCTCCCAAAATCTTGTGGAAAACCTTCACAAAAGAGTGGAGGATGTTATAGCTGCAATGAGTATCCAACTCCTTCAGTGTGGAATGGGATGTTCATAAAGCTCATAAAGGTGTGATGGTCAGATGCCCATAAATCTTCTGTCACATAGCGACCCACTCCATGGTGTTTCATCATTTCAAACATTTTCACTATTCTTAAAAAAAATCTACTAATGATCCTGTCCACCAAAGTCCTTGTACATAGCAATGTAACATTTTCTGGAGTAGGAGATTTTCACAAATGGTTTTCTTCATCAGGTGACACTTTTTGCTTTGCAATTAATGACAGTAGTGCCCTCTTGTTTTCCAGTGTTCCTTTGGGCTTCCCCAATCTTCCGGGGGCTGCAAAGTCTTGCCAAAACTTGAGTTGTTGAAGATCCAAGGTCCACCATTGCCGGCACATTTATCTTGAGCACAGGAGGTTGTTCTTTTTTGGTGTGTATCTTCTCCTCCAGCGTCAGTACCTGATCTTACAAAATGATCTTTTGGCATAATAGGGATACATGTTCCAAAATCTTGTGGAAAACCTTCACAAAAGAGTGGAGGATGTTATAGCTGCAATGAGTATCCAACTCCTTCGGTGTGGAATGGGATGTTCATAAAGCTCATAAAGGTGTGATGGTCAGATGCTCATAAATCTTCTGTCACATAGCGACCCACTCCATGGTGTTTCATCATTTCAAACATTTTCACTATTCTTAATAAAATATTTAATAATGATCCTGTCCACCAAAGTCCTTGTTCATAGCAATGTAACATTTTCTGGAGTAGGAGATTTTCCCAAATGGTTTTCTTCATCAGGTACAACTTTTTGCTTTGCAAGCAATGACAGTAGTGCCCTCTTGTTTTCCAATGTTTCTTTTGGGCTTCCCCAATCCTCCGGGGGCTGCAAAGTCTTGCCAAAGCTTGAGTTGTTGAAGATCCAAGGTCCACCATTGCCGGCACATTTATAATGAGCGCAGGAGGTTGTTCTTTTTTGGTTTGCATCTTCTCCTCCAGCATCAGTACCTGATCTCACAAATGATCTTTTGGCATAATAGGGATACATGTTCCAAAATCTTGTGGAAAACCTTCACAAAAGAGTGGAGGATGTTATAGGTGCAATGAGTATCCAACTCCTTCGGTGTGGAATGGGATGTTACACCAGCTCATAAAGGTGTGATGGTCAGATGCTCATAAATCTTCTGTCACATAGCGACCCACTCCATGGTGTTTCATCATTTCAAACATTTTCACTATTCTTAAAAAAATCTAATAATGATCCTGTCCACCAAAGTCCTTGTCCTTGTAGGAGATTTTCCCAAATGGTTTTCTTCATCAGGTGCAACTTTTTGCTTTGCAAGTAAACCCCCCCCCCCCCATTTGCCAACATTGAGCGTGTCAATATATTGTCAGGTGAGAATATTTGAAAAGCACAGATTGGAGTTTTCACATCAAGCTGTAAAGCTATAATAACTGCCATGGTAGAGGAGAACATGGAGCTGTTATATCCAGGTCTCCGTCATCTTGTCACATTAGTATGAGACATACATTTTGTTTCTTTGTGTATCTGTACTCTACCAGTCAGCAGAATATTACACAGCCTTTTCTTAGCCTTGATACTTTATGTGTGATGAATGAGGAGTATTTCTAAAGAGTAACCCCATTCTTTACCATAAATTGGTTATCAAATATCCAAGGCAGTGAAATGATCAATGTAATTACTGTTCCATTGTACAGGCATTTGAAGTATCTAATGCACCAACGGAGAATGGTTTACGTTGTTATTGTTGTGATGCCTACAGCATACTATAAAATCTCAGCATTAAATGTCTCAACACTTTCCTCTGTGCACCATGGACAGGTCTGGATTATATACATAGAACACGCATCACATCCCATATATACACATTTTCTATGCTTTCCTGCTTTTTGATGACACATTTTCCAAAAAAAGGTGAATATGGCGGATCTGGAATTTAAAGCCCAGCTGCTTTCAGTTTCAATCAGCCAAATGAAGGAGGGGGAAAAAAAAAGAAGGAAAATAAAAGAAGGAAAAAAAAGAAGGCAAAAGGAGAAAAAAAAGGAGAAAAGAAGAAGGAAGAAAAGAAGAAAAAAGGAGAAAAAAAAAAGAAGAAAAAAAAAAGAAGGAAAAAAAAGAAGAAAAAAAAAGAAAAGAAAAAAAAAAAAGAAGGAAAAAAAAAGAAAAAAAAGGAGAAAAAAAAGAAGGAAAAAAAAAGCCTGT